TGTTCAAGCTTGATGATTTGCATCCGGACAAAGACTTCAAAGATGCCGACAGCAATGAAAACTCTGAATCTTTGATCAAACGCTACCTCAAGCCCAATGTGTCCAATGCCAGCAGCATTTCATTGGCCACGAGTGAAGCTGGCGCAAACAAGGCCTGGTCGTATTGGGCAATGGATAAATGGACGATGTCAAAGCCAACCCACCCAATGCAATCTACACAGTAGTAGGAAGGAATGAGTCTGGCAAGAAAGCAAGAAGTCAATATGTTTAATTGTTGTGTTACGGTGTTAAGTGTTATGGTGATATTGGTGATATTCAGTCGAGTCATCTTGAGACGCCACCTGTCTTTTTCATGATGCATATTGTTGCACATTTTGGCAGGCTGATGGTGGACATCCTCCAGAGGCTCCAGAGGAGGCAACTTCGGGGGCCTTGGCTTTGACCCAGCAGGCTCAACTCAAGGGAGTTGCAGCTGCTTTGGATGTGGATGATCGAGTATCTCATGCAATGCAAGAAGAATCTGTTTTGGACATGATGAAAAAGCAGGTAGAGTTGGAAGAATCATCTGCACCAACAGCAGACACAATCAAGGCTGTCGAAGAGGAGATTAAGGACAAGCAAAGAGTCTTTCATTCTGCCACCACTGCGGATGCGGCTGCGGCTGCAAGCAATGCTGATCAGGCTGATCAGGCGGCAGGTGACGGTGCGAGTGTGTTTGAAGCTTGGACGCCGAAGCCAAATCCAGACTCCTGTGAAGAAATAGAGCCCAAACTGGATGATGGCAAGGACACGGGTAGCATAGTTGCTATTGCTGTTCCTACAGCTGCTACAGGGCTTGCTGCTCAGGAACAATCTTGTGAGAAGGGAGTGCCTGAGGAGAACAAAGTCACAGTTGACACGGTCATTGACACGGTTGAAGTTGAAGTTCAAGAGCTTCAGGCTCCTGAAGAAGAGGGCAAAGCAGACAAAGCACATTCAACAGCTGTTGAACCAGCTTCCACAGCCACAGCGGAAAGGAAAGACACTGCCGCTCAGGAACTGCGTGACATTCCTGCTGCAGATCAAGCACCTGACCAAGCTTGTGATGAGGGCCAAGAGAAAGCTTGTGATGCTGATGAGACAATTTCAGAGGCGCTTGGCAACCTTATGCTTCAAGAAGAGCTTAAGTTGGACTCTGAGTTTGAGCCTGAGCCTTCAACACAGCCGGCTGATGCCAGCAGCAAAGCTGATGTCCATGCTGGAGAGCAGTGTGAGGGCAAGCAGTGCTTGCTTGTTCGCAAGCCATGCTCTACGGTACAATCCTTGCAAGAAGCTTTTGACTTCTGGGACAACTGCTTTGACATTCTTTGCGATGGCAAGGAGTCCGAGGAGTGCTTTGAGCTTTTAGACAGACTCGAGCATTCCTTGCAAAGCAATTCCTTATCTACTGCATTTTCCGGAGTTAGAGCTCCTGAGACATCTGCAAATGTTTTGAGATTCCGCCTTGGAGAAAGATTGGGAAGAGAGATCAAGAATGACCAGGGGAAATTACAACACATGATCGAGTGGAACAAGCACTGCCAAGAGGAGTGTTTGTTGGCGGCAAAGCTGGAGAACTCCTGCTTGTTTGGCGATATTTGCCAGTTCTATCGAGAGGAACTCCGTCAGACTTTGATTCCTCAATTGCAGCAGAAACCGAACACGGCAATCCAAGCTTTGACCCCATTGATCCTTTCTGGCCGAGCGGTGACAACTGTTGGCCAGTGCCTTCATCATCAGCGCAAGTGTCCACTGCGGACGTGCGCACGCCACGTTGCTGGGTCGTCATGCAAGCCGTTCAGCAAACGTGGCACGCAGCTGGGAACAAATGACAGTGACATGATCCCAACGCTTGCATGGTTTGCGTTGAGAAGATCGCTCCAAGAGCCAGACATATGTCAGGAGAACGTTCCGGATTTTCCGGTAGGCCTGGCTCAGTCTCTGCTAGGAGACTTATATTGGATCGACGTCATCAAGCTCAACCCTGGAGTCTATGGAACTCCAACTGCAAGGCCTCGCCAATTTATCAGAATGAGACATCGTGTCAAAATCCTGTCCGAGATGTCACCAGTGAGCCGGTTTGCTTTGAGATTTCAGAGGATTACAAATTTCCATTGGTCTGAGTGCCTGGGTTGCCATTGATGATTAGACGCTTTAGACTGTTTAGTTGGTGCTAGTTGCAGAAACTACACTGAGGTATTTGTTCCAATGGGTTATTTAGCAAAATGCATTGTAATTGTTGACTGCCAACGACCTTGGGTGTTGACGGTGTTGAAACGGTGTTGAAGCAAGAAAATCATTGGAAGAGCTAACCCATTGGCCCACTGACCAACTGACTGGTCAACAAGCCTTCAACATATAAGTTATTTGCAAGTTGAAAGTGTCGCACGTCTGAAGGGTTTCCAACGTAACGTCTAACTAACCTATATATCTAGTACCAACTTCAGGTACTACTACCTGCACCACTACACTGGCGACAAGAGCATCGAGACCCCAGTGAAGGATGAGCTGGAGGCTGAACTTTCTTGGGCCCAGGGCCGTGTGGGCAGCATGGCCCATGGTCAACCTGAGTTGACACTTGCATCGGAAGAGCCGTTTGCAAAGTCTCTGACTTTTGGAGAAGACCGCTTTCTTGCTTCTTACCGCCATTCCCGACCAGGACAAGCTTGGCAATTGAACCAGAACCCGGACTCTGGTTTCGGATCTTCTAGCAATGACACATCCTTGCCTACAGTCATTGCCAACATGCACATGCTATACACTGACCGTGTGGTTCCTGGCCGTTGGCTGGCAGGAAGTGAGGCTCTATCGACGCAGGGTTTTCCAGTGATGCCTTTCCTGTGGAACATTCGACCTGAGAAGTTTCCTCCTCTGTGTACATTCAACATCCCTAGCTCTACACGTACCTCTCGGAGAATGTTGACGCAAGCGGGCAACTCGATGAATGTCATGGTCATGTCAGTCCTGATGTTGCATGGGTTGCTTGAATGGGAACTCAAGCCAGAGCCATCTTTGCTTGCACGCATCCGTCTCTCAAGGGCTGTTGCGTTGGGTAGCAAGAGGGCGTCCAACTTTGAAGACCGATTGCCCCCCGCAAAGCGACTACGAACAAAGACCAAGGAACACTACACGGTGTGAGCGCTGAGTGGCTGAATGGCCAGAGTGTCTGGCAGAATCACTGCATGCATGAACAGGGGCAAGGCCAAGGCTTCACTGCACGCTATGAAGATTATACGTATATATATAATTCTCTACTGCGTTTGTATTTATTTGCTAATTCTTCATTGGTGCTGGTATCGTTTTCAATACTATTCGATGATTTGGGAAACTTTTGGAATCTTGGATGCTGAGATTTGAGTTTGGCATTTGGGTTTGCCTGCGAAGGAATTGTGCTAGGAGCCATGGTCAGTGCTAGGATGCTATCAGTGAAGGAATCATAATTCACGTGTTGCACGGGCGCTCCTCCCGAGTTGCGTGTTTGTCAGAAGATTTAGAAGATTGATTTGACTAGACCTTGGTATGACTTACTTGATGGTTCCTTCATTTCCTTCAATGTTTCCAATCATGAGCAGAGTTTTCTTACACTTTTGCTTCTGTATGTGTTAGGATCTAGTTTTCATCAGGTCAAATGGAACACTGCATCCAGAGATTGAACCACTGCCCACTGCAAACAGACAGTGCGTGGCCACTTCTTACACCAGCAGGAGCAGCGCGACCAAAAGAACAACGGTCCGCTTCAAATTGAATTGTTTTCCCACTGAGTCATTGAGTCAGTCCATTTCCTCAGTGAAGTTGGACTTTGAGATTGGCAGCCAGTCGACTTGCGCATGTGATGTGATGTGATGTAATGTATGACATTTGATATGTTCTGCAATAGGGGCCCACACACACACACACCTCACGTTCGTGACTTACTCAGGCACTGAATTCGTACTTGGCTGCGGCCTTGGAGGAACAATCGGCATGTCCGTTTGATTGTCTGGCGCTAGTGTAGTATTATACACTAGTTACTAGTTGTGATTGTGCAAAGCATTGCAAGCAAGCGCAGTCTGGTCAATGAAATATGAGACGGCTAAAAACCAAACAGGCATTGGCCATTGGCATTGAGTGTGCAAATTCTTGGTGTTTGGATGCTGGCAGTGATGTCTGTGTTTTCAAGATTGCATTTGCCCGGCCGCTTTGGCTCTCCTTCTTCATTTCTTTTTAGCTTGTTTGCTGTCAAGAGTGATAGACCCCGAGTTGTCGTACCTACCACTGTGACTGTGGCTGTGGATTGCCACAGTGCTTTGACATCTTCATCTTCAAGTTCCAAACCATCAGGGAGGTGCAAGTCATGTCAGCCAAGGCTGAAGCCAAGCCGGTCAAGGCTGGCAAGCTTACAGGGCTTGACCCAAGTTCGAAGCCTGCTGATCTTGACCTTTATGATCCCAAATGCGGCATTGAAGATCTCTTTGGAAGTTTGAGTGGTGCTGCACTGCTTGAGAGGATGCTTCTTTGGTATCAAGTGGACGAGATTCAGTGCATGCCGTGGTTCAGTGAAGACAGCCAAGGCCATTCTCGAACCATCGTGCGGTCGCCCTTCAGTCGAGAGCTGCAGGAGTCAACAATTGCGAGGTACCAGTCCAGGATCTATGATGAGGGATTGAGCCAAGTGGTTTCAGGACTGCTGAGCCAGTGGATTTTCGGGGTGGGGCTGGGCGGGCTGGGCGAATATAAGGTGCTGGACTGGATATATATAGTATAATCTTTAGTCTTTAGTCTTTGTATGAGACAGCTCTCAAGGGTGTGATGCTTAGTCAGGCAGCTCCACATATTGAAGTTCAATGTTCAAGTTTTCCGTGTTCTTTTCTTTTGTGTGCGTGTGCATTTTAAATAAATCAGTTCAAGTGTCAAAAGCCAACACTATAGTAAACAACACACTCAAGACAAGACTCACAAGGGGCTTTGGCTTCTGCCTGCTCAGAATGTGCGCGAGCATTACTGGAATGGTTGTTGTTGCAGGCTGTTGGCTGATCGGATGTTTCCCTTCCCTTCCAACTAATAACCAATGCAATGCAACCACCGCAACCACCGGACCGCCAACTTAAGCTAACTTATTTGTCATCCCTGACAACAACAAACAGATTCTTCCTGTTGATTCACATTATCATCTTCATTGATTCATGATCCTTGAATCTAACCACGGTTACCCACACGACACTCCACAGATTCTGGCTATAGGAGCAGCATTGACCAAGTGGCGCGGGCCAGATCGCGCTTATCCTGTGCTTGCTTTGGGCTTTAATCATCGCGCGGAAAGCTTCTACAGGTGTGTCAGCGACTGCCCCACCAACCAGAACGTCGTTGACACGCTGAATCGAGGTTTGAAGAAAGTTCGAGTCTTGCACTGGAACACGCCAGATTGTGTGCAGCAGAAGGTGGTGACACTACTGAACCAGTTTCACGAAGGATCTTCGGAGAGCCACTATGATATAATGCAGGAGGCCCATGGTTTCTCAATCAGGTGAGTATTTGAATCAATCAACTGCTAGATTATATTGTGTACGCAATACATGTGTACATTGCACACTGCAAAAAAAACACATCGCACCCATGATGGTTTGCACTCGAATTAGACACATTGTATGATATGATGATGGCACACACAGCCCATAGCTTTCTTGTGTTGTGGACCATTTTTCCGATTCGAGATGGATCATTGAATCAATGAATGAATGGATCAACAACAACAACAACAACAACAATAATCAAGGGTTTGGTCCAATGTTGGTCTACCGGTCGCAGGTCACAAATTAAGGAATCATGTGAGGCCGGGTTGATGTTGACGTGGAAGCGACTGTATAACACGCCGTGGACACCACACTCTGTACACGGACCTGTATACCTACAAGTGTTGTGTATATATTGTATATTTTTATTGTAGTGGCTAAGTCTGACTCAGTCCACACAATGCCTCGACAGGCCCTTCGGCTGGAGACAGCATGGAAAAGTGAATGCTGCACGACCAAGTTGAACACATACAACCCGAAGTACCAAGCTGCGTACGAAGAGTTCGTTTTGAAGAAGAGTTCAAGCAGTGATTACTCGGGCTTCTTTAAGGCCAAGCAGCCATTCTACAGCGCCATTAGCTTGGCGCACAACTTGCAGAATTTGAACATCTACACTCGGTTTGAGGTTTGGTGCAATACATACGTGGACTACTTGGATACCCGATACAATCCTCATACCTGTGTGGCACAAATGCATGCGATCACAGTGATGATTGTGAATGGCCAGAAGAAATTCATCTCCAAGGAGAAAATGGGCTACATTGTTTTCGAAGCTTTGAAAGCCTGTGTTGACAGCTTAGTTTTGCTTAGAATGATTTGACGCAGCGCCTGATAATATGTCATTGCAAACAAAAAAGATACAGTAATTTTGATGTAACAAGCAGACTACGGATATAGAAACGTTAGAAACGGAGGCTGCAATATCGAAAGAGGACATATGGACATATGGAAAACGAAGCCTACTGATTCTACTACTTACTACACGTACCACACAGACAGAGATCTGCATGCGCTGTGACTCACTGGCTCACTGTCTAAAAACTCACAGACTGTGATTTCTCAGCCTGCTTGCTTGCTTGCTTGCTTGTTGAATTGGTTTGAGTGATATTTGAGTGAGGTTCCTGTTTCTGCCGCAAACGTGGCCAAGTCTTCCGGGAGAAGTTTGACCTTTGTGTTCAACAGGGGCGGCTCTGAGATCGGCAAGCTGATGAACTTGATCAATCTACCCATGGAGAATAGTGCTGTGGTTCGCAAGATGCTCAAGAAAGACGCTCCTGGCTCTTCCACAAGCACCGCTGTCAGCAAGCCGAAGACGGCAGATGTCACCTTGCAGGTCAAGGCACAGCTGTGTGGAGTCAGTTCCTTGGGCATTCAGTTGAAGCCCGGCGAATTGAAGAAGTTGCATGGTGCCAAAGGTGCTGGCTGTGAGAGCGAGGCTTGATGCTATCAAACAGCCACCACAAGAAATATAGATTGTTATGTAGCTTGGACGACATACTTATATAGACATACTCACAACTCACAAATGACTCACAAAGGTCTGACTGACTGACTGACTGACTGTGATGTAGCAAACAGGATCTTTCGCTGAAATGAACTATATATGTTTTTCTTACTTCTTGCTTCTGGTCTTCGGTGCGATTCACCAAACAAACAACAAACGACAAACCACCCGACGGCGGCGCCAGGTTGACTGCAACACTGAAGCAGCCACTGGTGAGGGTCAGGTTTCTGGTGGGAAGACAGGCGGTGGCGGTAGCAGCATGGATGCCCAGGCATCTGCATCATGTGAGCAGTCAACAGAGAAAGCCGATGGTGAAAAGCCCAGCGAACCTCCCCCCAAGCGGCAAAAGATTGGAAAGGTGAACCAGAAGAGGAACCAGTTCAAAGGCTATGGGGATCAAGAGAAGGCTTCCTTCCAGGTGACATTACAAACAACGAGCGGTGAGAGCAGAGCATTGACTGCCATTGACGACATGATTCGAGCTTTGGACTATGTCATTGATTGGCTCGTAGCAAGCAAGACCTTGCAAGAAGCTGATGTTACATCAGATCGTGTCATGTCCACCTACGGGTTTTGTGTCAGCCTTTTCCTCGAGTTTGCCTGGACAGGCAAGGTTTGCATTGATGGCAAGTAATTCCGCCAGTACAGCAGCCTCCGCACTGAAATTCAACAGACATTGGTGACAGCGAACGAGCAGCTTGCTGCACCATTTGAATTGGATGGCGGGTCTGGTCAAGCAGATGCAACGGATGGAAAGGCCTTGAACCCTTTGGAGCTTGCGGCAATGTTGTGCCAGACGTTCTTGAACAAGCCAGTGACTTCGGTGATTTGGGATGTGACTGATGACCCTGAAGAGCAAATCGTGAAGAACATTGCTGAATCAATGCAGAAGGGCTTGGGCCAGGACATCAAAGAGTTTGTCTCTTCGACTTTGCATCTTCCAGTGGTAATGCATGCTGGACCTCGTGATGCTTTGCAGCAGATCTTTTCCTTGCCTCCCAAGGGAACACTCAACTTGATAGACTTGTTGGCAGTGGTCTTCACCTCCATTTGCCAGCACTTTCCACCGGCCTGGTGTGGATTCGGGTTTGATGTTGCTACGGCCTATGCCGACCGACACCACTTCGTTGAAGACACGGACAAGGCTTGGCATGCTTGAGTGGTTATAGAAACGTACTGTAATGTAGATGCAAGCTTCAACTGCCATCCAAAACTTGATGAACAAACTTGCAAACCAAACCAGTGGTTTCCTCCAAGTTACTCTATGGTCCCTTATTGGTTGTTCCTCCGTCTTCGTCATTGTCATTGACTTTCTTCGATCGTTGATCGATGCCGTTATGTTATGTTTGATTGGCTGTTGGTTGACACGGCTAGTTTGTAAACAAGTAAGCCAAAACAGTTTTAATGTGCACAGCTGTGTAGGTGTTTGGCACGCTGGAGAATCTACACTCTTTTTGTCAGCCTCCGCCTCAAGTACCTCATTAATATCTTGAGGGAAGTGTTGCCAAAGGTGATCATCAATGATGTGGGCAGCCATGAGATGAAGGACGCTTTGGTGCAGATTGCTAGCTTGTCATTTGAAGGCCCTGAGTTTGAGATCCTCGTCGTTTTCGACTCAATCCAATTCGCGCAAACATGGGCACGTGAATGGGCGGATCTGCTCTTGAAGGCCCGCAATGTGGAGCACTTGGCTAAGCTCGTCCGGGCCATGCCAACTGTTGTGGCAGCAGGGGGTGGTGGGACAGATGCTCCTGAGCAGTCTGAGCTCGGCCAACCCAGCCAAGGATCGCGAAGAGAAGGCCTACTACCAAGCAGCAGACTGACTCCCAAAACATTCAAAGTTGTTGGTGGTGCGGATCCTGACAATGGCTCGGATGCGAAGCCTGCTGCAGGAGCAAAAACCAGCCTGGATGGTGTTGATGGCCATGGTCTTGAACAAGGACATGACAAATGGGGTGGATGTGGTGTGGGCAGTAATTGTTCCGATTGATTGAACGTTCTTTTGATAGATACAGGCAGTGCTGAACTCAACTCTTTTGTATTATATATTAATATATCCATCACCTGAAGTTTCAGCCCGGCATTTGGTTTCGCTGCAATTTAATTGAAGTGTTGAGTTGAGGCTTCAGTTTTGTTTTGGTGCTGTTCATACTACTATGTATTATACAATTATAGTTTTACAGTTCAGTAAAAGAGTCTCACACTTTATTCAAGCCAGGAGTCTCTACTGGGCCCAATGGCAAAGAAGATGTCCAGGGCACGGGTGGTGCGTCAACCGAAATGACACTTCTCGCAGTCAATTCGTTCCGAGACACGGGTTCATTCGAGAGCTTCAAAATGCTTGAGTACTCTGATGACTTCAAGGAGACGCACCCAGAGCCAAACAATGACAACACCACCGAATCCAAGGAATTGAAGGAGGAGGACAATGGGGATGAAGATGGGGCAGTACGTGCTGTTGCTCCCCTGCAGCCCAAGAGGTTGTTGGACCCACTCTTTGTCAAGATCTTGGAGAGAAAAATTGAAATTCTTCAATGGGAGATGTTTGACTACTTTCAGTCGGGCAGTGACAACGTTCGAGTGAACTTGAATAGCAAGAAGGATCAATTCTATGTGAAAGTTCCTATTTGTGGGAAGCTATGCATGCCCTTTGCTGGGAGTATCTCTGCAGCACAGCCCACGAGCACCAACAAGAATCAGAGGTCCTTGTTCTGCACCTTCCTTGGGATGCATTTTTATGTGCAGTCCAAGGCTGTGGATCTTCAGCAGGCCGACCTCTTGATTCCAGCTTGGACGATGAAGACGGTGCCAAAGCAACAGGATTGCTTCTTTGTGCAGGAGCCCGTCGAGTGTTCTTTTGTTGCTTTGGCCACTCCCAATGATGAGCTCATGAACATGTCGCTGCGCTTGGTGACCAAGGAGAATGAGGTCGACATCCGGGCATTATGCAAACAATGCACAGCTTCAGGTGGCCGCGAGTGTTTCCTGAGCCTGATTGAATGCAGATTTTTTACTTGTCCTAGGTGCCAGCGCTTTCTTTTCAATGCATGTTTTTTCAAATGACAATTTGTGCTGAGCTGAGTGAAGTTGCTAGGTTGGGGAAAGGCTCGCTTGCAAACGTTGGTGCCAATCTCAAACCTTGACACCAAGCTGGCAGATGATCTTCAGAAAGAGAAGGAGAAAGCTGAGAAGACCGCCAAGAACTTGGTCCAAGCAGCCATGCGCCGAAATCAAGCTCGTGAAACCAAAGAAGTCAAAAGACAAAAGAAAAACCAGGCAAATGCTGAGAATGCCGTGGAGCGATTGCAGCTTGAAGTAGAGACTAAGAAAAAGGAATTGGACAAGATCGCTCACGCTGAGCGTGAGGAATCACACGTCCAGGATGCGATTGAGAAGGCCTTGGCTTTGGTCAAACCCCGAACATCTGTTCCATTGACAGTCCTGGCTCCGACCCAACCTTCAGAGAGGAGTGCCCGCGCCAAGGCTATGCAGAGTGCTTTGAAGGCTGCAGAGGAACAACTGGAACGAGCGGAGGCTTGCACAGCTCCGGGGCCGCCGCCAGAGACTCCTGGCCAGGATGCTGCTCTTGGGGTGCAGGCAGTCATGGTGGCTTTGCGCAATGATGGTTCTTTGGTGCGAAAAACGGTTGTGAAGGCCAAGAAAGACGACAAAGCCTTGACAACTTCTGAGATGAGGAAGCTGGGAAAACATTTGCTGAAATGAATCGTGATAGGGTCCACTGTGGTCTGAGGTCGGATCCTTCTCAATTTATAGGTGTTGGTAGTGCTTTGCCTTGTTTCCATTTTGTTGGTTTGTCTTCGACAATGATTCTTGGAATCAAGGATTTGCAGCCCTCAGATCACACACTCGCATCAGGCTTGAGCATTTCGAAGGAGCTAGATTTTGTGTGTTAACACTTGACAGTAAACTGCACTCAGTGTTTCAATCATCACGAATTGACTTTCCATCGCCTTTTCTGAGCTCCATGTCTTGTCAGCGCTGGGGCGCAAGCGTTGTCATGTGGCAACAAACAATTGCCATAGACTGGACCTTCAAATGTAGGCCCTTTTGTCTTTGTCTGAGACATTTTTGATTTTGTAGGCTCCTGCTACTGCTTTGCCTTTACCTCCCTAGCAGAACAGACGCTATGTGGAACACAAATTAAACCTTGCAAGCGTAGGATAGGCTTGACCTAAGTCAAGGTCATCATCAACCAAGAGTAG